ATGCACCCCTTACACACAGAAAAACACACAATGCATTACACATAGACACACACACACACACACACACACACACACACAAACAATGCAACCCTTACACACAATGCATCACTTACACACACAGAAACACACAATGCATTCCTTACACACACTCAATGCACCCCTTACACACGCACACACTGCATCCTGTACATACACAGAAACACACCTTGCAGCCCTTACACATACAAACACAGATTCACACAATGCATTCCTTACACACATATAAGGACATCCCCTACACACTCCACCCCCTGTGAACAAACTCATTGGTGGAACATGAAGGTGGACCCTGGGACCCAGACCTTGAGCTGTGTAAAGGGCCCCCAAAAAATGGAGCTGCTTCCCGTTCTCCCAGAACATTGATTTTTGTGACCACAGTTACAAACAGCCTCCAGAGAGCCTGTTCTACACCAGACCAGTGGAGCCAGACTGCAGCTAGAGCCCATCATCATCCTCATCTCGTTGTAAGTAGGCAATCTAGTATATTATTCGTGGCACTAATCTCTAATTTACCTCACATTAAAGAAACACTATAGTCCCCAGAACCACTGCAGCTTAATGTAGTCGTTCTGGTGTCTATAGCCTGTCCCTGCATGCCTTATAATGTAAACACGGCCGCACTGCAACACTGGCGTTAGTTAACATGGCAGATCATATGGGTGGAGCATTGTGATGTCACATGGGGGGGGGGCGGCAAACTTTACTTTTGCCTAGGGCGGCAAAAATCCGTGCACCGCCCCTGACCGTATGGTATAAATTACCAGTTGATCAGTACCATACTTATGCTTTTTTTGTTTGAAACCACAGCACTGTTTGATGTGCACACTGGCTGGGAAAGAGACATTAGAAGGAGTCTATTTAGTGCAAGGATTATGCATCTTCACTAATTAAGATTATATAGGGATTTCAGCAGCTTGTTTTTTGTTTTTTTTTTAGTTCAGATGTTTATTGCAACAATAAGAGATAGCTAATTCCGTAGTATCTATGGATACAATTTAATAGTTCATGGTCTCTAAGTCTTTGATACTTTTGGAGGTCTAAGTAATGGATACTTTGTTAGCAATCCAATCAACTGTTTTTTAGTTTATAAATTTACAAGCAAGGATATTTTTATCCACTACCCATAGACCATTACCAGGATTTAAAGTGCTACTCCAAGCAATGAACGCATTATGAGCAATCTAATCAATTATCTTTAGTCTTTAGTTTATAGTTCCTAATTAAGGATACATCTATCCACTATCTACAGACGATTACTAAGATCTAACAGAGTCAGTATAGATTGTATGGAAGACACTCAATTACTACAGATCTACAACATTGTATTATTGTCTATCTCTTAGCATAACTCTATACCTGCTTACCCCTATTCTTATATAGACCTAAGGTCTCCCCTGTGTTTCGCTTAGATGTGATGGGTTTTATTTAAGTTTACTTTTTCTTTGGGAATTTATGCCCTATAATAAAGGTGTTCTTAATCTGTATATATATTTGCAATGCCCAGAGAACTCTTTTTGGTGCTCCAAAGCTTTTTTGCCAGGGATCACTTTTAGTTATAGTATTTTTTACATACACATTACATTTTTGGGGTAATTTTTCAAGTCTGGTATATGCCATTGTGATCAAAAACCTATAATTATGCTGAGCAAACTCTTCTGAATAAAACAATACCCTTAAAAGAGTCCTGACCATTTTACAATTAGAATTTTGATAAATGGATTTGATGTGTCTTTATCACATTTTAGGGCATTGTAGCAGTTTGACAGTTAATATTACCCCATAAATGCATAACATTTGTGAAAGTAGACACCACGGGCTATGTTATATGGTATATTTTGAGCTTTATTATACAGTTACGTTAGCACCAAATTCTTTCAAATTTTATATTGTTTTATGTTTGCATTTTTATACACACGTATTTTGGAAACATGACATATACAATTGTAATCACTAAATTATTCTCAGCTATATTTCCTGAGTACAAAATGACCCCCTTTGTATACCTTAGTCAGGTTTTTGTGAAAATACGGGGCTAAAAACATACACGGCACAGTCCAGTTTTTAAAATAAAATAGCAAATTGACGATGGGTCTTTGTTTCATTTTAGGGCATTTTAGTTGCTCATATATTTAAATTACGCCACCAATGCATACTATTTACAAAAGTGGACACCATGGCGACTCTCACATAAAATATTATAAGCTTTATTGAAGTCACATTTTGTTACCATTTTGTTTCAAAGTTTGTGGAGGACAGCGAGAACCCAACCAAGCTGTGGCGATTTGTGGAGTTTATTGTGGTTATGGTATTCCAGTGCAGTGCCTATGCTGCTCGGAAGTACTAGGAAGCAGCGATTGATGGAGGTAGGTGGTCCGTCACAGTGTGTGTATGTGTGTGTGTATATATATATATATATATATATATATATATATATAGTGATATATACATATATACTTATGTATATAATCCAATAGTATAATACTTATGTATGTATGTGTATATATTTCTTTCTATGTGTATTTTGATATCTAGATATATATATAGATATCAAAATACAGCTAGAACGAAATTACACATATATATTTTTAAATTATTTATTTTTTAACGTATTTACATATTGTATATATAATTATATATTGATATTAAAATGCACTTAGACAGTTTATGTGTGTGTATATATACTTAGATCATATATCATATTTCAGACGAGGACTGAAATGTTGATCAGCTATTTTAACATGTATCAACATTAAAATCTACAACTTTTAATCTTTTTTTCTAAAAACCGTAAGTGCTGGTCATCTCTACTTAAGGTGTAATATATATATAAATATGTTTGTGTGTATGTGTGAAATCTATTATATGATCTAAGTATGTATTATTTATTTTCAAACTGTTTTTAAACGTTATTACAGGCAGCAGGGGGACTACCTGTCATTCCAGGCACTCCCCCTGCTGGCATTGCTACGGACGGCTAGTCTGTCCATGTGATTGTGAGGTCCTCGCAAGGACCTCGCAATCACATGGCCCAGGAGGGCCGGATAAGCAGCAGGGGGACTCCCTGGGATGCCAGGTAAGTTACCCCCCATCGCGATCACCGGTGAGCAGGTAAGTCCACTGGATGGCGGGGAGGTGCTATGCCTCCAGCTGGCGTTTAGAGCTGGGTCCCTAAGGACCGCATAGCACGCCCGGCGTCCTTAAAGGGTTAACAATAGAGGTAATTCCAGTGAGGTGGGTCCCATCTAAATTTAATTTGGAGACCTAAACTCACGTTTCTATTTTTCAAGTCTAGATTTCTTACATTATTGTATTGTTTATAGCAGTGTGTATTTTAAAGTATTTGTTTTGTGCTTAATAATCGTATTCTCAGTAAAGTTTTGTTTATACTTTCATCAAAACTCTTCCTCTTGTCTGTTCATTAAAGATATTCACTGATATTTATGTGATTGACCAGCATACCTATTATTATTTAATTTTTGGTATTATTTAATATTTACCTAATTTACCATTTCAGTTGCCCAAGTGCCCCTATGAATGAGCCACAAATTATTGTGAATAGACAAGCATTAAATATGTGGTTGATGGCCAGCCACTTCTTATTCTCAATTTCTCATGTAATATATCCAATTTGTTTTCATATTTGCTGTTGCATTTAAAAAGCAGACCTGTGCACTTCAAAATATTTTTTTATTAAGAAGGTAGGTATATTTACCTGCACTCGCGTGACATGTAGATACACTATACAAGCCACTAGGAAGCATAAGGAGAACACCAGGAGAACAAGAACTATAGTGCTTCTGTAAATGGAAAACAAAAATACACGATTGAAATGGCAAATTAATAACAATTCAATTATACACTATAGGATTTACTCACCAATTCACTCACTGGCATTTATAAAGCACCAACATATTCCACAATGCTGTGCATTGGAGAAAAATACAGAACAATGAAAACAAAAGGTAAAAAAGAGCTCTACCCACGAGCTTAGATCAAGCCACTGAAGTACTTTTATACAAGGTATTCAGCTAGACCCATCATGAGCTTACAATCTACAGGTTTAAATTGGCAGTTGATACAAAAGGTAGCAGAGGGAATTTGAATGTGATGGCCAGAGAGAATTAAACAATAATTACTTGTAAAGGGAATGAGTAGTTATCTGGTTGTTATGTGAAACAGCTGAAAGAACATGCCAAAAAGTTAGAAGGAAACAGAGTGGGTGGGAGGAGAGGCAGGTAGTGTTTAGTGCAAATTAAGTGGCACCATTTCTGGAAGCCGGTTTGTGTACTTGAAGTTTGTGTACTTGAAGCAAACTTAACCGCTACATGCACCAATGGCCACATCAAGCCGCGCATGCATATTTTTGTCGTACATCATTCCTGTTAAGTGTGAAGCCAGCTAAAAAAGGTCTTTATTTAAAAAAAAGGAAAAATTATTGCACTTATGTAGACAGCCTGACCAACTGTGAATATCAACACACCTAATCAAGATGGTATATGGTATACAAGAATGTAAAAAATTACTAACAAAGATTATGATTAGAGAAGTACGAATAAAATAGGAAGTGGCAACATTGGAAAAGTACATCAGAGAATGAATTACCCCGAGGGGTTTAAGGCACACAAAATACCCATCATTTGATCAGGATGATATTGAATTCACAGATGAGTGGACAGAGATGCTTGACTGTTTGCCTTTTATCACTATGAATCTGATTGTTAAGAGAAGAAAATCCAGCTCAGAAAAAATGGATATTGAAATGAGGCCCTGGGGTGATAGTGCAGCTAAGCGGACAAGGGCACATGTAGGAGTGTGGGGATGGATGCGGGGGAGTGGTTTAGGAAGTATGTGTAGGTGGGATTAAGTTTCTATATAGTTAGTGGGGGGAGTGGTCTTACCTCAGTGCCACTTGGGAACCGGGCCAGAAGACAGCTTCCCGCCCGTCCACCCCTTTTTTGGTAGTTAGTCGCAGCTAGCCGGGGGTATGTCCTTGCCAATTAAGTTTGTGGGTTTATGTTTTATGGTTGGAGTGAGTTAATAAGTTGGCAAGTCTCAACCTCCCCTGCTTCAAACGGTTAACTTTAGGTTGCCTGAGGTATCGTGCCCATTGAGCGTGGATAAGGTCGGCTGATGGCGGGCATTGGATTGGTATGATTTATGATGAGGGGGAGGTGAGAGGAAGTGGTGATTAGCAACCACGGTATGTTTATTGGCAAGGACAGTTGGGTTACTGTATAACACTGTGTGATGTTATATATGTATATATGTTAATTTATGCTTATTTATGTTTAACAATTTTGGTTACAGAAAGAAGATTTTGAATAAATAAAGTTATGTGTTATGCAGTATTTATTTATTTATTTATGTTATAATAAATGCTGTGGCCTGTTTTATCCATACTAAGTTGTCTGTCGTTATTGGGAGGGTTTAATGGGGTTAATTTATGTATTAGGTAGCATCGGAAAATTCCCCACTACGTACATACAAGCAAACATCAACATTTTTTGATTGCAAATACAACTGCAGAAAATTGAGTCAATTACTAGAAAGATTCAGGAACAGGTTGACAAAGTAAAACGAGACACAATAGAAATTAAAAAGAAAAAATACAAAATTCAGTTCAGATCATACCATCAGAAACAAAATAGACAAAATGCCAGACCACAAACTAGAGCACAAGAAAGGAGGGACAAATACTTAATACAGAAACCATTTGAGAAACAAATAAGAACAGTGAGAACACAAAATCACAGACCGCTTAAAAAACATGATGTAACCATTAAAGTAAAGAAAAACAATAACAATCCAATAAATAGGGATAGTAAAAGAAGAGATGAGAATAAAACACCCCACAGAACCTCTAGAATTATAAGAGGAAAAAACTCCAGATATCAAAGTAGGGAAGAATATTTTAGACATCCAAATAGGTATGATGTTTTAACAGAAGCCCCCAAAGATCATTTTTTTCAGGAATCCAGGAAGAGAGACAAACACAAAACCTTAAAGGGACACTATAGTCACCAGAACAACTACAGCTTATTGGATTTGTTCTGGTGAGTAGAATCATTACCTTCAGGCTTTTTGCTGTAAACACTGTCTTTTCAGTGAAAATGCAGTTTTTACATTACAGCCTAGTGATAACTTCACTGGCCACTCCTCAGATGGCTGTTAGAGATCCTTCCTGGGTCATGGCTGCCTAAAATGCAGCCAAACATTCAGTGTCTCCTCCCTCTGCATGCAGATACTGAACTTTCCTCATAGAGATTAATTGATTCAATTCATCTCTATGGGGCGATGCTGATTGGCCGAGGCTGTGTTTGAATCATGCTGGCTCTGTCCCTGATCTGCCTCTTTGTCAGTCAATCCTATGGGGAAGCATTGTGAATGGATCAGACTACCACTTCTGATGATGTCAGCAGACTGCTAGTTTTTCTGAGGCAAACACCATGCAGAGTTACAGCTTCAGGCTTGAATACAGTAAGATTTTGCTATAGGCATGAGGAGCACAGGGGGGCTAGATAGTGGTTTTAACAATATAGGGTCAGGAATACATGTTTGTGTTCTTGACCCTATAGTGATCCTTTAATGCATATGTCAACCCATAGTAATGAATGATAAAAAAAGAGGAGGAGCATACAAGAAGGGGAGCTAGAGGAGGTTGCAGAATACAAGAGAAGAAAGAGACCATTTTTTTTATAAATCTATTGTATTCAACTTAACAGAAATTCCCTTGATCAAAGTCACAAGAAAATGTAACCAATTAAGGTTTAAAGTATGTGACAACCAAACCGATTAACAAATTTGAGATGTTCATTGATTTGAACAAATTCACTCGACAGTTGTCTTTCAATTTTTTTTTTTTTGAGAAATGACAGACATATGTTTTCAGAACAATTAACACAAAAATAATATATACACACAAACCTGAAAAATAAATCTGTTTTCTGCCCGACCTATTTAAAATCTGATGAAATAGTGATGTTTGAGAAATCATGCAAGAAATAAAGAAAATCCCAAAGATCCATAATAAAATCCTAAATTTAAACAGAGAGGAGTGGAGGACTTTAAAACAGCTACAGAGAGACGAAACCGGAACAATAAAACTGGCGGACAAAGGAGAGGGAACAGTGGTTATGGACACTAAAAATACATAGAAGAGGGGCTAAGATTAGTAGGAGATATAAAGACATATCAAAAACTAAGTAAAGATCCCACCATAGACATAGTAAATAAATTTAGGGATTTCTTTCAATCAGGGAAAGATAGGGGAATCCACAAGGATATGCAAAACCCACAAGGTCGTCTGATAGTCTCTGGAATAAATTCAATTTCCAGTAGACTATCGGAGTATATTGATAAATGCTTACAACCCCATGGCCAACGTAATCCAAGCCATCTTAAATATACCCTAAATTTTATTCAGGTTTTAAACATGTATTCCTGACCCTATAGTGTTTAACCCATCATTTAAGTGGCTTGCCACCACCTCAGCCCCCTTAAATGTTAATAAAACTCACCTTTCCAGCTCCGTCCCCTTGGTGACATCATCAAAATTGCAGATTTTTAGCCAATCCAAGGCTTTCCAATTGGGGAAAGCATTAGATTGGCTAAAATTGGCAAGGGGGCAGGGCCAAATGTCATTTTAGTCATTCAGCACCTCCTCATAGAGGAATGGATATCTATGAGGAAAATTCAGCGTCCCCATCCAGAGCGTGGAGATGCTGAATGGCACTGTTGCCTACTGTGCAGCACTGAGTCAGGAAGCACCTCCAGCGGCGGCTATCTGAGGAGTGGCCACTTGGAGGTGTCCCTACGGGCAATGTTAACACTGCCTTTTCTCTGAAGAGGCAGCGTTTGCATGAAAATGCCTGCATATAATGATTATACTCATCAGAACAACTACATTAAGTTGAACAAACACCACACTCAAGTACATGTCGACACATGCTTGCCCCGATACAAAATCCTATAGTTATCGCAGGGAAACTTATCGTAACCATGATATGCCCCAACTACCTGGTGTACACTTGCGGAATACAGCTGTAGGCCTCACGCCTGCCCCTCCCTCTCATTCCCCGTCTTGCAGCCCACCTGCAGCAGATGCTGCGACTGTGGTATTCACCACTCACACTATGTACTTGTGTTATGCTTTGTGTTTTCTCTGAATTTTATTTCAGACAGGCACGAACTGGGTTACCCACAACTGAGGCCTAACAGTCTAAGGATACTCTAGAGTCACACACATAATGCATCAGAGAGGGATGGAGCAACCCCCATAGACCATATAACCATTTAGGGAGGGTGAAGGGAGGTAAGAGCTCAACTGTTAGCCAGAGGAAGCTGACACAGGCCGGTGGATGGAGAAGCTGAGGCCTTATACACATCCAAGGGGGGAGAGAGGGGGGACATGAGACACATTGTGGAAAGCAGAGTGGGGGTGAAATGGGCGGGGGGAACGACACCACATGTACAGGAAAAGAGGACAGGGCAGGAAAGGTAAAAGGGGAAGTCAAACAAACACTAAAAATGAAAAAAAAATGGGGGTGTGGGAAAAGACAGCAGGGGGGAGGGCATGGGTGGGGCGGGAGGAGCTGTTGAGGTCGGGCTACATACTGAGCACCCGATCACGGGGATTTCACACTTGCCCGTACCTCGTGACCTGCTATATGGGGTGATAATGACGGGAATTGTCCAATGGCCTTGTACAACTGCAGGGGACTTAACGTTCCAGAACGCAATCACATATCCAGTGAGAACTCATGACGCAAGGGGCATCTATTGCCTTTCTACAGGAGACCCAATTCCTTGGGAGCGTGGCTCCAACCCTGCAGAACAGACACTACCCCACTGGCTATTTCAGCAATAAACCAATGACCAGGAAAGCGGGAGTCACAATACTCCTGGCAGCCACACTACAGTTTCAAGAATTAGACAGCAGTAGGGACCCAGAAGGTAGATAACTATTTATCAAGGGGAAGATCGCATACAGACTGCTCACACTAGCAGTTGTATACGCCCCAAACCATGGCCAGTCAAACTTTCTCTGCCAGACGTTATCCAAATTGAAACACTTCATGGAGGGATCTCTGATAATTGGGAGGGGGTCCTCAATGGCCCCCTAGACCTGATGCTGGACTCTTCATCTGAACATAGCAGTATACTCGAGAGACTCATCCGAGAAATCCGCAAGGCCCTTCGAGACATGAGACTGGTGGACTGCTGGGGGCCTACCACCAGACAACCAAAGATTACACCCATTACTCAACTGTCCACAATCACTATGCTCAAATTGACTACCTATTCATGCAGCAAGAAGACCTCACACTCCTGCTTTCAGCATCATGAGCTGCTTCTACTTGGTAAGACCATAGCTCAGTCTTGATCAGAGTGGAATCCCCTTTGACCAAACCGACAGAGTGGACGTGGCGGCTCAATGAATCCTTGCTACAAGACCTAGACATTCAAGACCAGGTGATGCACGACTTGACCTTCTATTTAGAGGAAAACGACACTGGGGACGTTCCACCACTCACAGTTTGGGAGGCACACAAAAGCGTCATACGGGGATGCATGATTGGTCTCGCAAGCAAAAAAAAAAAAAAGAAGCGACACAACAACCCGCAGAGGTGTTATGCTACTAGGGTTTTTAGAATTGGAACTCAACTGCAGCTTGTAGAACTCCTTTAAATTATCAATACTGTAGCTTTCAGAAAAGAGAGGATTGCCGGCAATTAGAGAATCAAACAAAGTTTTAATGATTGTGATAAACTTAAGTGAAAAGCATATAGGTAATAATTCAATAAGAAGAAATTGCTGGTTATAGCAAACAATACAAAGTTCATCAATAAGTATTTCCTCAGAGATGTATTGAATAATATTCTTTAGGTTGATAGCAATAATCTTCAATAGAATTAGTATGCAGGTAGCAGAGAATATTTGCAAAGCAAGAAACAGTTCATAGTGGTTAAGCTTGATGGGAGTTATCCTCAAATAATTAGTGTGTATGCAGCAAAGAAGATTTGAGCAAGCAAGAAACAGTTCATTAATAACTGATTCCAGATAATAAATTGGAAGTTATACTTAAGATTAATGTGAGTTGTCCTCCAAGAGATCAGTATTAGAGTCCACTTGTTAAATGGTAAAGTGTCCCTTCTATTAATCCTCTAGTGGATGAAGCATAATCCTTTTATCTTCAAAGGTTTAGGAAGGCTTGTGAGAGAAGCTTGTGGAGCCGGCGTCTATACTCGGAAGTAGGTCCCACAATCACCAAGCGCTTTCTCTTTGGCGCGGTCTCTCTAAGTAGTGTCAGAGAGCCGTGTCAGAAGGGGGCGGGGCCGCCTCCGCAGAGCGGGAATGCCGAACCCGGAAGAGATACCGCATAACAAGAGGTCTCGACCAGCATAGCCAATATAGAGTCCCAACATAAACGTTCACGCTTAGATCCAGTATATGTGGCCCTGATGGAGGCGCGATGCACACTGACAGATCTTCTGATGAACAAACATCTCCGCGGCATCCAACGATGTGACGAAAGCAACTTCGCCACTGGTTTTTGGAGAGTGTTTGCTGCATGAGATCAGCGATGCAGACCGAGTACCCCTACTAGCAGGGAGATTATCTGGGCACGCCGCCGAAGCATACCGGGCAGTGCCAGACGAGGATAGTAGAGACTACAGTAAGGTGAAACGGGCCATTTTAGCCTGGTATGCGATCACCCTCCGAGGCGTACCGCATGAAGTTCCGGGACATTAAAAAACCCACTAAGGACACTCATGTGGAATTGGCACACCAGCTACAGCGAGCTGCAAAGGGGTGGTTGGAGGCCGCCCAAGTTAACACATTGGAGGGTCTGTTTCAGCTGATGGTACTGGAGCAATTCTTCAATGGCATCCCGGCATATCTACAGAATTGGATCCGGGACAGAAAACCACACACCCTGCAGGAAGCGACTAACATGGCAGACGAGTTCCAAGACAATAGGAGAGATCAACCTGCACCAACCAGAGCCGTCATCGCCCCTGCAGCAGCAAGCACCCCAGGGAGCCCCACAACTCACCAGCGACCAGGGGTAATTCCTACCCCTCCAGGTATTCAGCACGCCCACCAATTCGGTGCCATACCTGCAACCAACAGGGGCACATTCAGAGAGACTGCCCACGGAATCGGCCCAGACCCAGCTGGAATAACGCAGCACCGAACAGCCGTGCAGCCATACACTGTCTACAGGCCAAATCCTACCAAACCCCAGAGCTGGGGGCAACCCTGGAGGAACCGCTAGGCACCCTACACGAGGTGAACCCCATCCAGGCCGCCTCCGATAACCGCCAAGGGCACCGCCAGGAGGTACATATGGAAGGGAGAAAAGTACAAGGACTTTGTGACTCTGGGGCTACCTTAACTCTAGTCCGAAGTCATTTGGTACCAAAGCCCAAGCTCACTGGGGACTGTGTGGCTGTACGGGTGGCTGGGGGAGCCATTTACAAAGTACCAACGGCCAAGGTCCACTTGAATTGGGGAGCGGGGCACGGGAATGTGTATGTGGGGATGATGCAGGACTTGCCAGCGGATGTGATTTTGGGCAACGACTTGGGGGAGCTGACTTCAGCATTTGTTCCACAACCCACAGTACAGGAGGCTTATCCGGTTGTGACCCGACAACAGGCCTGCACCACAGCACCATCCAATCACTCTGAGGCTCAGGTAAGCGATGACCCTCCCCTACACACTGCCATGCCATGGGTCAATTCCCTAGAGTTTGGGTCAGAAGTGGCCCTAGACCCCTCTTTACAGGTGTATAAAGACCGTATTGATAAGGATCAAGCAGGATTAGAAGGGGAAAGGTATATCTGGGACAAAGGACTACTGTACCGACATGCAGAAAAGGTAGTGTCCGGGTCTATACCTTTACCCATTAAGCAACTCATAGTACCTTGAAAGTATAGGTTAGAGTTATTGCGCATAGCTCATGATATCCCCCTGTCTGGGCACTTAGGCATCAGTCGTACCAAGCACAGGCTGACCCAAAACTTCTTTTGGCCAGGTATTTCCCAGGACGTTAGGCGATATTGCCAGACCTGTGATACCTGCCAAAGGGTAGGCAAGAGAGGGGACAGATACAAAGGCGGGCTATGATCTCTGCCCATAATTGAGGAACCCTTCAGTAGGGTGGCAGTAGACATCATAGGACCTCTAGCAAAGCCCAGCCCATCCGGCAAGAAATATGTCTTGACCGTGGTGGATTACGCCACCAGATATCCCGAGGCAGTAGCATTAACCAACGAACATGCTGAAACGGTAGCCGAGGCCCTGATGAGAATATTCACCCGGGTAGGATTTCCCTGGGAGATTATTATTATTATTCAGATAGGGGCACACAGTTTACCGCTGAAGTAACACATCAGCTCTGGAAGATATGTGGGATACAACAAATCCTGAACTCCCCATATCACCCCCAGTCCAATGGGCTCTGTGAACGGTTTAACGGAACCCTTAAGCAAATGATCCACACGTTCATGGACACCCAAAAGGACTGGGAAAGGTTTTTACCCCACCTGCTGTTCGCGTATCGAGAGGTGCCACAAGAATCCACCGGATTCTCTCCGTTCGAATTATTATTCGGGAGGAGAGTGAGGGGACCTCTTGACTTGATACGGGAACACTGGGAGGGAGACGAGACCATTAGTGGCACCCCTATCCTACCCTATGTGCTTGAGTTCAGAGAACGCCTGGAGATGCTGACCCAGACCATCCGAGACAATCTCCAGGTAGCGCAGCAACGACAGCGCAGATGGTATGATAGGGGAGCCAGGGACCGCAGATTTCAGGTGGGACAAAAAGTACTAATCTTGCGGCGCTACACAAAGATAAGCTGCAGGCTTCCTGGCAGGGCCCATACAAGGTGGTAGAACAGATCTGCGACACCACCTACGTGATCGGCCCGGTTACAGGCACAGGAGGTAAACGCATGCTCCATGTGAACATGATCAAGCCGTATCACGAACGCACAGAGAAGGTGACCGCAATCTGTGCCCCTGCCACTGAAGATTTTGACAAATTACCTCTACCCGATCTCCTAGACCAAGAGGGCCAGAGCGGAGATCTGGGAGAGGTACAGTTAGGAGAGCGGTTAAACCCCCACAAAAGATCCCAAGTGCAAAGGATACTCCAGGAAAAGAAAGCCACGTTTTCCAATTTGCCCGGCTATACCCCGTTAACTACGCATAAGGTAGAAACTTTAGATCAGACCCCTCTGCGCCAAACCCCATACCGCATACCCGATGCAGTCAAAGAAAATATGTGCAAAGAAATTGAGGAAATGCTTCAGTTAGGAGTGATAGAGCACTCCGACAGCCCCTGGGCCTCCCCGGTGGTACTAGTGCCGAAACGGGATGGAACGACCCGTTTCTGTGTAGACTACCGGCGGCTCAACGATAAAACGACCTCCGACGCTTATCCCATGCCCTGGATAGACGAGCTCCTGGACAAAATGTCCAGGGGCCAGTACCTTACCACAATAGACATGTGCAAAGGGTACTGGCAAATTCCCCCTCACTGATTTGACCCGTAAGAATCTCCCTAAGCTAGTAGTCTGGGCCCCAGAGTGTAAGCAGGCATTTCAACAGCTCAAGACGGCACTTGTTAACTCTCCTGTACTTTCTGCTCCTGATCCAACTAAACGTTTTCTCGTCCACACAGACGCTTCTATGTTTGGATTGGGGGCAGTACTGAGCCAAGTTGGACCAGATGGCGGAGAGCACCCCGTAGCTTATCTATGCCGAAAACTTTTACCCAGGGAAGTAAGCTACACCGCCATTGAAAAGGAGTGCCTGGCTGTGGTGTGGACCCTCAAAAAGTTGCAGCCCTATTTATACGGACAACCCTTTACATTACTCACGGATCACAACCCGTTGGTGTGGCTGAACAGGGTGTCAGGAGACAATGCCAGGCTGCTGCGCTGGAGTTTGGCGCTGCAGCCTTTTGACTTTACAATACACTATCACAATTGTATAACTGTATTCCCTGCCTTGGCTATCTGCCGAAAGCAGAAAGCTGATTCCCTTTCTTTTCACAAACGGCACCTTTGCGGGCCGTTCGTGAACCGAACAAACCATCATTTAATAGCCCACACACTTAGAGACGTGTGGAGCCTATTAACCGATTGCAACAATGTTGCAATCGGTAATTAGAGGCTCTCCAAGGTGGCTGTCTTTTGACTACCGACCATGCGGCGGTCGGCCATCTTGGATCCTTTGTTCCCTCAGCGGTGTTTGGTCGTCGAGCGCATGGTACTAAAAATGGCTACTCGACGGCACGAACACCGCTGAGCTTCCAGGCCTTTTGGGAGGTCCGGGCCGTTCGG